CTCGCCGGAATCGCGCGCAGAGGCACGGCCCCGCGCATAGGTTATGCCCACGACTCGGTCGAATTGCTGTACCCGGTCGCGCCCCGACGAGGAATGCCGCCGTGCTAGATCGCACGAGAGACCAGGGGATCTGCTTGCTCGGGTTTGGCCATCAAGGAATTCGGGCACCTTTTGCTGCCTGAGATCTCGCATGCGGTGCATTGATTTCTCTCATGCTCCTGCTCTCTACTTCTAGCAGCGACGTTATTGTTTGGGTGATTTATTGGGTCCATGTGTAAGAAATTTCCAGGCCATGGTGCAACCGAACAGCACATCGTTAGATCGATCGTCTGGGTACACTTTCGAGCGAAATTTGCTTCTGCCGTTGAGATACTGCCCGAATTGATGGCAAGTTGAGCAGCAAGACTCCGCAAGCCTCTGTATTTATCTCTCATCTGCTTCTGCCAAGCATGCGGCCCTTCTTCTGGTGAGGTTAACATTTGGCTAATTAATTGGGTGGATATGCTAGATCCTGGGCCATCATGTAGAGTACTAGTACTAGTAGTAGTACAACATTTCGTACTACCTTTTTCTAGGGAAATTTGCTACTACCTCCGTCTAGGTGAGTAAGTCATTCGCGTAGTTCTAGGTCGACGATTTAACTATCTAAATATGTATTATATGTGACAAAAAATATATATTTAGAAACTACATCCGTGTAAAAATCTAGCGATATACTTTTCATGACATATACCACATATTTAGTTCTTCAAATCGATGACCTAGAACTACGCGAATGACTTATTCACCCAGACGGAGGTAGTACTGCCGTTTAGATACACCCGAATTGATGGCAAGTTGAGTTAAACTGTGCTGTTTATTCAGATCGGTCCATGGATCGGCCACTCTAGTTGGCATGATCACAAAGATCGGACCATTTCTCTTCTTCTACAAAGAGAAACCAAGGCCCATACCAACACTCCAAGCCTATGTTATCTGTATTCATCTCTGTTCTGGTTCCGCCAGGTTCCACCTAAGAAATGAGATCTTGTATCTGCCCTTTTGCTTTTGGAGAGCAGCGCAAACTTGCGAATTCAAATCCTTAGAATTGGGTGTGCCAATTGGGAATTTGTTCATGGGGATCTTTTTTGCCGCCTTGCTCACTGGTTGCCATCATGATTCGAGTACTGAAAATCTGTCGCGAGATCATTTTTCGTACATGATGTGTTAAAAATGTTTGGTTTATTCTGTATTGTAACATTATTATTGCATTGCCTGAATCTCACTAAAGGGTCTATTATTCTTCTTCACCATCTATATCTGTTCATTTTTCAAAAGTTGACTAGTGTTTCTTACCTGAAGCTTCTTCTTCTTCTGTTGTTGCAGTAGTAGATCCCTTATGAGCTGGTTGGCTGCGGTTTCACTTCAGTTTGGGGGCTACTAAGATGGGTCAGCAGCTGGGCAGAGACAAGATTGGATCAAACCTAACAGCTGATGACATAGCGAGCGCCTTCTACTTCTCTCTCCTGCTCTCCCCTGTTGTCTCCTTCTGGGATTGCATCTTCCGCAAGATAAGATACTCCTTCAGACCTGAGTGGGTGTAGCAGCATTTGCTCCAACCGCTTCAGCACTAGTCGGTCCGGGAGTAAATCAGCGGGCCCTTAGGAAGAAAGCATCTAGACAGGAGTCCAATAACTATGAACTTTGCAGATTTTGGTTTCCCGTAATTATAACTGGTAGAGGAGTTTAGCTGAGAGATAGTAGTAGTCAATAGCAAGAAGTCACAGTGGTCATGGAGAAGGCTGCGGGCAATCAGGCAGGGAAAGTCTTGAAGAAGGGAAAGAAGAAGCAGGCGGCGAAGGATGAGCTGGACCGCCAGAAGCAGGCTGAGAAGAAGAGGCGCCGGCTGGAGAAAGCGCTCGCAAACTCTGCTGCCATCATCTCGGAGCTGGAGAAGAAGAAGCAGCAGAAGAAAGAGGAGCAGGAAAGGCTGGACGAAGAAGGCGCTTCGATAGCCGAAGCGGTCGCTCTTCATGTCCTCATAGGTGAGGACTCCGATGAATCCCGCCATCTGGCGCTGAACAAGCACAGAAGATGCAACGACTGGGACCCCTCGGCCGGTCTGGATTTCGCTCTGGACACGCAAGGCGCAGCCGATATCTACTCCCCCGGTGGGCTCATGTGCGCCAATCAAGCTTATGCTTCCAGGGGTCATCGGTGGATCGACTGGGGCAACGCGCATCCGCTGCCAACCTGGGGGGAAGTGAGGGACCTGAAAGCGTCCTACCACCAAGGAACGTTCCACCAGTCGACAGTCGCCTGCCCGGGCTTCATGGCCGCCCAGGCCGTCTCGTCGCTGCAGATCCGAGAAGACTCGTCCTCTCCGGGCCAGGGAGTCGCCGCCGCGACCGTCGTTAATAGGATGCTCGGCGGCGCCAACGGGCTCAACCTTTACAGGGAGATGTGAAAAAGGAAGATATATATATACAACCGACCTCGTCGTCATAGTGGTGTTGTACATAATAGTCACCCGAAGGTGTGCTGACTATTTTGCCTGCGTGCTGGAAGCTGTTCCGGCCATCAGATTAGAATCTGATGGCGCAACTTGTTTCGCCCTTTTGTTTTCGTCGGTCGGTGTGATAGGATATGTTTTGCGTCTGTTGTTATTGTCGGTATTGTAATGAAACAAATATGATTTTCGTTTCTCTTGCTCCTAGCTGGGTTTTCTCTTGAAAGTCTATATATATAGTTCTTATTTGTGTGTCCTCGCGAAATAAAAATGTGCTTGTGGAATGGGAACTTTTTGTGTTTTTGCCTTCTTCCATTGGTGCATTGTTCCCAAGAGTATTTTTGTTGTGCCAATGAAATCCCAGAATGGAACCTGCATTTATTGATCATTGCACTGGATGGATTTGTCATCTGTGAATTATAAACTGCAGAGTTATGTACAGGTAAGAACTAGAACAGGAACAGATTCTGCCGTGCTGAAGACTTACTGACCAATCTCTTCACAGTACTGCATTGTAGATGGATCGATGGTGACCCAACTGATCAGTAATTTTTTTTGATAAAAGGGTGAACTTTATTGCTTCAACATGAAGCATCAAGAAGATATAAACACTATGAGCATACACCCGGGCCTCCGCATTGATAGGATATGCACAAAATCTAACACCAACAGAGAAACACACCACCACCTAGTAAAGTCATATACCCCTAAAGGAAAACCTAGCAAAGTCATATAAGACCAGCGCTATGTGTCGGCGAGGAAAAAAGAAAAAGAAAAACAAAGCGCGATCGGCCAACTGATCCGTACATGAACAGGGTTAGGCCTTCTTTGATTCACTCATTCACGGGATTCTCAAAATGCAGGAATAAGAAAAAATGCAGGAAAATAGTGTCATGTCCTCTTGCATACTACATGATTATACAAAACAAGATTAACATGGTTGTAAGGGTGTTTGGTATTAGAAGGAAAAAAAGGGCTGCAAAATAGAATAACATGAATTTGACCAAGAGGTTTGCGGGGGTGAAAATGTTTCTCCAGAATATAGTAGAAATGAACCCTATGAAAAAATTACGAAGGATTCCAATCTTGTGAAGGGAACAACCATCATAGAAAAACATCGTAATAACTCAAATCCCCTATAATTCTTATGTAATTCGTTCGAATCAAGGAGCCTTAGCCTTAGCCTTAGCCTGCCAAGCAAGTTTTTGCTTTTCTGAGAACAGGCTGCCAAGCAAGTACAGTCATGTGTATGTTTGGTTTTTAACACAATGTGTATGGCTTTGTTGTACTTTTTTTTTAGGGAAAGGCTTTTTTTTAGACAAGGGGAAGGCTTTGTTGTACTGGAGAGGTGCGGGTTGAGAGCAAGGAGGAGATGGGCTGGATGGGCCGAGAAGAAGGAAACGGACTCAGCCGTGAGCCCATTAGTCCAAGACCTACCGAGGCCCGGACTCTCTAGGTTTCCACCGCCACCGCCGCCTCCTTCTTCCTCTGCCCGTGCAACCCCGCCGTCCCCCGCGCCGCCGCGCCGCCTCGCCGGACCTCCGCCGCCCAGACCTCGCCTCCTCCTCCTCCGTAAGCTCCCTCCGCCCCTCCTTCCCAGCGTCTCCTTCATCGATGCAACCCAGAAAACAGTCGAGTCGACCAGCCCCGCGTCTTCTTCCCGATGCAACCCGCCGGAGATGAGCTGCCCAACTCCTATCTTGGCATTCGAAGGATACATTTCCGAATTGCCAGTGAAGATAGTGTTCCTTTTTCTTGTTCCGGTTGCTCGAAAAGCATGCTCACGTTTCTGTTGACGACACTTCTATCTTGTCCAGATTCATCTTTTGGTTATAAATACCTAATGATATTACTGTAAATTAGTCTGCTATATGCCATAGTTGTCTCTTCTAGAAGGTTTTTTTTTGTCAGAATAGTGTAGCTGAACAAATCGGTGAAAAATTACCCATATTATTCATCTGGATTGAACACCCAGCTACAAGATTGCAATCTTATGATCCATGCTCACCTACAGTTGCTACATTGTTATTCATTTGATAACCTGCCATCTTTAACGACAGGGAGCTACATTGAGGTTTGATTGAGCGGCATGGGGTTGAGGGACAAGACCAAGACCGGCGAGGGGAAGGATTTCCCGGTGCCTGTTAATCAGGCAGGGAGGAAAGTCTTGAAGAAGGGGAAGAAGAAACAGGAGCCGGACCGCCAGAAGCAGGCCGAGAAGAAGCGGCGTCGGCTGGAGAAAGCGCTCGCAAACTCCGCCACCATCATCTCATAGCTGGGAAAGAGGAAGCAAAATAATAAGAAAGAGGAGCAGGAAAGGCCGGACGAGGAGGAAGCCGCTTCGAAGCAGAAAGATGAACTGGGCCGCCAGAAGCAGTCTGTGAAGAAGCTGCGTCGGCTCGAGAAATTACTCGCGAACTCTGCCGCCATCGTTTCAGAGCTGGAAAAGAAGAAGCAGAAGAAGAGAGAGGAGCAGGAAATGCTGGACGAGGAGGTCGCTTCGATAGCCGAAGCGGTTGCCCTTCATGTTCGCATTGGCGAGGGCTCCGGTGAATCCCGCCGTCTGGTGATGAACGGGTACAGAAGATGCGATGGCTGGGACCCCGATGCTGGTTTCAACCTTTACATGGAGATGTGAAGAAGAAGATATGTACAACGTAGCTCGTCGTCATAGTGTTTTCTGTACATAGTCGCTGAAGGTGTGCCTGCGTGCGGCCTGTTCCTGCTATCAGGTGAGAAGAATCCGATCTCATAGTTGTTTCGCCCTTTGCTAGCTTTTCGTCGGTCGGTGTAATATGATTTTGCATCTGTTATCGTCGGCATTGTGATGGAGCATATATGGTTTCGGTGGTGACCCAACTGATCCGTACATGAACAAGATTTAGTGCCTTCTTTGATCTGCATGATTCTCAAAATGCACAAATAGAAAGAACAAACGCAAGAATATAATGGCATCTCCTCTTGCATCCTATAGAATTATTACAAAATCACATACATTTAAATGTAAGAGTGCTTTATATTTTAGAAGGAAAACAGAAAAAAATACTCCAAACTAGAGTAACATGAATTCTACCAAGAGGCTTGCAGGGATGATTTTTTTCCCTCCAAAACAGAGTACAGATGAATCCTATGAAAAAAACACACCAAGGATTCCAATCTTGCGAACAGAACAAAGAAGGCACTAAAAAAATTCGTAAGGATTGAAATCCTCAAAAAAAAAATCCTAAATAATTCGTTTGAATCAAAATATCCTTAGCCTGCCAAGCAAGTTTTTTTGCTTTTACGAGAGCATCCTGGTAAGCAATTAACTACAGCCATGTATTTTTTTTTCTTTGAGACAAATTACAGCCATGTGTATGGCTTGTTTTTTTTATTTTGAGAAAACGTGTATGGCTGTGTTAGGAGGAGATGGGCTGGATGGGCCGAGAAGAACGAAACGGACCCTTGGTGGCCGTCAGCCCATTCGTTCAAGACCTAAGTCGAGCCGCACGCCCCCTTGGCCCGGACCCTCTAGGTTTCCACCGCCGCCGCTTCCCCTTTACTATCGGCCACGCTCCGCCTCCTTTCCTCTCCCCCGCAACTCCGCCGTCCTCCGCGCCGCCGCCTCGCCGGACCTCCGCCGCCCGACCTCGCCTCCTCCTCATCCGTAAGCTCCCTCTGCCCCTCCTTCCCCGCGTCTTCTTCATCGACGCAACCCAGGGCATAGTCGACCAGCCCCGAGTCTTCTTCTCGATGCAAATGTTTACTTGAGAAAGTGTTCTTTTTTCTTGTCCCCGTTGCTCGATAAGCCTGCTGATTGATTGCTTGATTGATTCTATGTCCGGCCTTTCTTTTGATTGTGCGCGGTGCTTCTGTGTTGTGCCAGATTCACCATTTATTTAAATACTGATGATACGGTTGTAAATTTGTCTGCTTGGTATGTGCCATGGTCGTCTGCTCCGGAAGAATTTTGTGGCAGAATAGTGCGGCTAAACGTTCGAGTTGGAAATCAAATTAATGGTTGCTCGTTTAGATTGAACACCCAGCTATATGTTGTCCAGATTCATCGTCATTTACTTTTATAGCGATGATACTGTTGTAAATTAATCTGGTTGGTATGTGCCATAGTTGTCTCCAAGAGGAATTTTTGTCAGAATAGTAGTGTGGCTTAACGACCGTGTGAAAAACGGACCATGGTAATGGTCACTCCGTGTTCATCTAGATTGAACACCCTGCTCTATGAATGTAATCTTATATATAATTCATACTCGCCTACAGCTGTTATATTGCACATTTGACAACCTGACTTCTTCAGTTACAGGGAGCTGCATAGAGGTTTGATTGAGCGAGCAAGATGGGGTTGAGGGACAAGAAGAGGAACCAGAGGCGGGTGCTCTCGCGCCGCTCGGCCGGCCCCAAGACCGGCGAGGGCAAGGATTTCCTGGTGCGTGCGTGCGCGCTTTCCTGCCTTTGAACCGAATCGAACCCCACACATCCATGTTGTTCTTGCCCCTGATGTTGTGCTGTGATTGGTTGGCGCAGCCGCTGGAGGGGAAGGAGCAGAGGGTCCGGGAGAAGAAGCAGCCCGAGGAGCCGGAGAGCACGGCCACCGTCCTCTACATCGGCCACATCCCCCACGGTTTCTACGAGGACCAGATGCAAGGTCTGTCTGTCTGTCTGTCTCCCTCGGCAGAGCCTAGAGAAAGCGCGGCGGCTGCGACGAGGTGTCTGGTCCTAATATCCGTCTCTGTTGGTTTGGTTTGGTTGTTTTTGCAGGTTTCTTTCAGCAGTTTGGGGCTGTCAAGAGGGTCAGGGTTGCCCGGAACCGCAAGGTATTCCATACTGCGTTACAAGGTGTTTGATATTTGTGTTGTGTATGTTTTCTGCAACCATCTGACTTGCCGTTTGGTGATGTGTTCAGACAGGGAAGTCTAAGCATTATGGATTCATTGAGTTTGAGAACCCTGAGGTAGGCACAT